TTTATTTGCAGCATGTCTTAGAAATAATAAAGCTTTTTATTTAACATATTTAAATGTTCTATATTGTTCTTTTTACATTTGTTTTTTAGTTTGTGGCAATTTAAGCATGTGTTTATTTTTATTTAGTTAATTAGTTAATTATAGAAGTTTTAGTCTATTTTTCCCCGATATGGTCCATCCCTTTGGCACCATTTTTAGATAATTTACCTTATTTCTAATATGACAGCAATAAAATATTTTGTTAGTACACCCACAAACACACACACACACACACACACACACACACACACACACACTGACCTCCTTTGCACCTCAGGGTTCCCAGCTCCTATTTGGCACCTCTGGCACCACCCCCGTCATGAGACTCCAGCAGTTCTGAGGTTCCTCCATCTGATCCCTGCAGCCTGCAGAGATCTTTCTCCAGCCTAGGTGTGTCTCTTTCTGGGGCTCTTCTCGGTCCACTATCACTCAGAGGAGAGCTGGCTCATGTCACGCTCCCCTGCTCACCCACCTCTGTGCTCACCAGCCCCCATGTCTACAAGTGCAGCTGCCTTGGGTCTGCACCAACTGTCCTTCTCTGCTGATTGAAGCCACAGGTGCTAGACACAGCATGTTCTTGACTGATAGGAAAATGCCTTTTAACTCAGGCCTTACGTAAAATGATGTCCCATCTCTTCTTAGAAATCTCCAGTGTCACTTCTTGCCTGCAAAACACTGTCATGTCTTTGTGAACTGCTTTTGAAGCCCTCTGGAATCTGACAAGCTTCACCTTCCGGTACATTCTCAGGCTCCCTGAATGTACCACCTTCGGCTCTACGACTCAGCTTCTCTGTCCTCTCTGCTGGTCTCAGCTCACTTTTCTCAAGTCTCTCCTACAAGGCAGCACCATCTGGAAGCTTTCTTGAACCCCTTCCATCAGGATGAACCCCCGCTTCCCTCCCACCCCACCCAGTGATAGCTGCATACTTTTTGTTCCATCCTTCCTATACTGTATGAGATCACGTTAAATATTTCCTACAGCTGAGTCAAGCTAGTGCATAATAAATATACGTTCTCTACTGTACTCAGTGTTTGCATTTAGTTAACCGTTTCATTTCCCATCCATCCATTTACTTGGGCAGTCTCCTTCAGAACCACGGTGCTGCCTCCATCTGTTCCATTTTCCCCAAGAGTCAGCCACTCCTCTGCACTGTCTTCAGGGGCATCTGGGCAGATGCCCTCCAAGGGTGCCTTCACCATTTCCCAGGCAGGACTCTACCTGTGCTGAGGGCTTGCCTGTACTCTCCCTAACCATTGCTGCATTTGATTGAGTGTGAGCCCATTAGGCTGCTACCTTCTCATGAGTAGGAACTTTTCTTCATTTGTCATTGTATTTCTCAATGCTGTGTTCAGAGGATACTCATAAATATTTCTTAATTTCATCAACTGACTGTAAAGCATAGTGTGCTATTAACTTGGTTCTAATCCTGATCCTTTGTGGTCTACATTAGTTACTTTCTGTTGCTGTGATGAAACACCATGACCACCGTGGCAACTTATAGAAGGAAGAGTTTATTGGGGCTTATGATTCCAGAGGGATGGCTCTATCATCACAGGGAGGCATGACAGCAGATGTGGATGGAGGAGAGGGCTGAGAGCTCATACCTTCAAGCACTCACAGGACATAGAGAATGAACAGGAAGTTGGATGAGGCTATGTGCTCTCAAAGCCCATCCCAAGTGTGTCCACATGCTTCCTCTAGTAAGGTCACACTTCCTAAAACTCCACAACCAGCAGCACAAACTGGAGACCAAGTATTCAAGTATATGAGCCTATGAGGGACATTTCTCATTCAAACCACCAGATGGTCTAAACTGACTTTCTCTTTTGATCCTGAGAATCAACTTCTAATTTATAATTTGCTTTTGTAAAATCAATTATAATTTCCTCAACCTCCAACTCTGTCTATTAGACAATGGGTATTGTACTTTGAATGTGAAATGTCTCCTATAGGCTCACATGTACGAATACTTGGTCCCCCATGTGGCAATTTTCAGGACAGCTATGAAACCTTCAGGAGTTGAAGCCTCCCATGAGGATGATCACTGAGGGCTGTCCATGAGATTTTATAGCCAGGTCCTCCATCCTCTTTCTGTTTCTTGACTGTGGACTCAATGTGACCAATGAGCCTTTTGCTCCTGCTGTTATGGGAATTAAACCAAGACTGGCCTGGCACAGCAAGAAGACTGAAACCATACTGAGAGAGCAGAAGTTTATCCTTCATTACATGTGGACCTCAGTCTGAGCTCCTGCTCTAGAGAAACTGAGGACCCGACCAGTGATAACACACAGATTTTCATAGGATTTTTCACATCTTCCTTTGGCAGTAACGGTATTGGTGGATTTGAGACTTTCAGCACAGATATGTTTGTGTCCTTTAGGCTATTATAGAAATTTTAATGGTCAAAGTTTTACAAAAGCAGATATACTGGGCAAGTGTGGGCAAGGGTTGTGACACTCCCAATAACATGATCATTGCTCATGCCGGTATGATCTCAGCCATTTTTAACAAACAACACCCTGTAGGCAGATGATTCCTCAAGACGACTGTAAGGCAGCATTTCTCAAGGCACTCATAGACTACAGTTTTATGGTTTTGTCTGTCCTATTACAACCTGAGACTGAATTCAGAGTGAAAGATTTTCTTTTGTGCAACTTTAAACAAACCTAAAATAAAAGCCTAGAGGGCTAAAGCCTTATTATAAAATCTTGTTATTCCTACATATATCAATAAGCATTCTTATTAGTAGGAGTACATAGACTCCTAGCGAACACATTTGTTAGTGCCTATTCATCTAGCACACAGAACAGAGTTATATTGAGTTTCACATTAGGTTACTTTCCCCTCATCACTGCCATTATGCCTTCCCTGTCTATGTTCCTGTCTTCCCATCCATGATAGACTGTATCTCTGGAAACTGTGAGCAAAATGAACCCTATCTCCCTTAAATTGCTTCTGTCAATGTGCTTTATCACAACAAAGAGAAAGTAACTAAGATGTCAAGTGCACTGAACACTTGTCTGTCACTCAGTTCTTTGTCCCCAGCCCCCCATTGTTCATGTTCCTTTAAGCAGTTTTTCTCTTGAACCCCAATCCCCTTTTTCATTGGTTAATTTTTCACAAGTATATGCTCATCTCCAGGATATGCCTCATCTTACATCTGTAAACTCCCCTGCACCTGTCTGAGCTCTGGATTGTTCCATTCAACTGGTTCGTTGTAAACTTTCCTACACACCACTACTAGTGTCCCTAATCAGCCCTCCCCTGTACTGCTAGAAGTCACTACTGCTTATGACTGGGAGCCATCACTAGCACCAGACACCCCCAAAGATGGGGCAGTGTTCACCTGAAGTCACCCCTGTCCCAGTATGTTTTGTCTCATCGTTCTTGGGTAGACGTGCAAAAACATTTACTCACTCCAGATAGGTAACCAATAACAGACCAGAGTAAAGATGCTATCATGAGTTTATTGGGATTACTTACAGGAGAAGGAATGACTCAAATGCAGATCCACCCCAGCATGGGTGACGACTTGTAAAAAGCTGGGCCTGGAGCTCTCTGCAGGACTTGCAGGCAGCTCACAGGTGGAAGAGTCTTTTCTCCTTAGTAGCCAGCCCTTACTGCTTATATAATCTTGGGGAGGCAGAGACATTGTGGCTCTGGTAAATTTCAGGTACTTTCTGAGATTTTTGAGTTGTGTACTTCCTGAGTGTTAAGCAGCATCCCTTTAGAACTTTCTGAATCTTAAGGAGCCTCCCTCTAGGATGGCATGTTTCAATTCACAGGAAATTGCTACAGAAATTTTCACAAGGACACATTTTACATTTGCCAAGAAAGCCTGACCAGCAGGCCTTGTTGCATACTGATAGGACTTTTAAACTTCCCCTGTAATTGGAGAAATGTGCAGTGGTTTCCTAATGATTTTTAATTTAGGAATCATGTATATGTTTAATCAATTAAACTGTACTAGTTAATTAAGTTTCCAGATGGCACAAGTAATTGCTTTGGTGTTTAAAGTTCTCTGGGTTGAATTCATTCTATTGGGCAGTTATTTCCCCATTTATCTGTCCGTGTTTATTAATCAAGTCACTTGGGGCAGCACATGCCACCCCCATCAGATCCCTCCTCAATCATTGTAGGGAATCAGCTCTGTCCCCAGGGCCCATTTAGCAGTGTCTGAAAACACATTTTTGGTTGTCATGGACAGGGTGCTAGCAGCATCCAGTAGATTGCAAGGCCAAGAATGCAGCTAATCACTTATGAAGCACAGGACAGGCACAGAACAAAGAATTACACAAGCCAAACGCTGAGGGTGAGAATTGGGCTTCCCCGTGGAGCATAATCAATACAGCATCAGGTGCCCCATAAGGATATCTGTGTCTTTGCGGGGAGGGCCAGGTACATTTCCTGAAGTGTAGCTGGTTAAGAATGGATGTGTTGTAAATGGTCAATTTTCCTTTTTTTTGCACCTTACCACCCCCCAGTTTGCACACAAAATGAGCTATCAGCCACGGCTTCCCTCTTCCTTGCTTACATCTCATCTTCTTAGTCTTGATTTTTCACCCTGCTGCCCACAAATGAAATACAAATTCAGCCTTCCCTAGTAATGCAGCCACTGGCTTCGCTTTGCCTGGAGGTGCTTTATCTAAGTGTTCCCAGCCTCTTCGAAAGCTCTCCTCTCCTCCAAGGCTTCTTCCTGACCTCTGCACGGCTGTGACCCATTTCCTCCTTGTCAGTTTATCTCCTTGAGAGAATATTCCCTCTTTTACTTATTGAAACTGCAGCAGTCGTTGGTATTCCCATTTCACTGCAAAATTTAGTATTCAGTGAGTGTGCACTAATGTTTAATGTTTCAGAGCATGAAACACAGCAATATTTGCTTTTTACAGTAAATATAAAAGTTCTCTTATTTAGGGGAAGGAGCTGGGACCTAACCACAGCTCTGTGTTGGCCTCCACAGGTTTACCTGAGGATGATGGGTGCTCAAGGTTGTGTCTGAGTGGCACGGGAACTTCATCATTTCAGAGACATCGAGAAAGTCACACCACCCAGGTGAGGACAATGCCTATTCCCATGTGTAGTCATGAATGAAGTTAAATTGTGGGAGACAGTTGACCTCCTTCCTGGACTGGAGAACTTGACTTATTCTCATCTCTATGTGTTTCTTTGACTGACATTCCTCTCTCTCCTCCCTCTCAAGTGGCTCAAACTTCTGCTTGTTCCAGAAAAGAACAATAAGCAAAACCAGTAAAACTTAGCACATTTTTATTAAACTATTATAGACACAATTTATGCTGTAGTACTTTAAAATCACTGTCTGATACAGGGGAGGTATAAAATCTCCTGAATAGTGTTGCTATTCTCTGATTAGACCTAGCTTACAATAGGAGGTTAAGGTTGTCCACAGCATGAAAACAACATCTTGATGCCCTGAGGTCATATGGCACATCATCCATTTTCAGCATCTCCAAGTTTTTCACGTGATGGGGCTTCAGAAACAACCCAGTTAAAAAGCTGGGTGTGTAGACCAAGCTAGAAACCCAGAACCCAGGCAAAAAGCTGGGTGTGGAGGCATGTCCTTATAACCTTATAGCTGGGGAGGCAGAAAGAACAGATGCCTGGGGCTTGCTGACCAGCCAGCCTAGTTGACTTGGCAAGCTCTAGACCAGTGAGAAGCCTGTCTCATGAAACAAGGTCAATGGCTCCTGAGGAACAAAATGGAAGTCGACCTCAGGCTTCTACATGCATGCACACAAACATGCACATGCAGCCCCCCCCACGGGCCTACATCCACTCTTACACATATGTATGCATGTGCATGTATACACATGTACGCATGTTCCTGCAACACTCTTATACACATGTACATAAGCACATGCACATGCTCATGTGCACACGTGTTCCTTCACACTCATACATGTACAGGTGTTCACATACTTATGCATACTTGCACATACATGTGCGTACATGCATGCGCACACAGGACATTGCTTGCGATGAGAGCACAGCCAAATCAAAACTGCTTCTTTGTCCTCATTTCCCTTCTGTTGTTGTATAAAACACTGACCAAAAGCAACTTGGGGAGAAAAGAGTTTACTTGGCTTACATGTTTCAGTCCATCAGTGAGGGAAGACAGGGCAGAAACCTAAAACAGGAACTGAAACTGAGACCTTGCAGGAATGCTGCTTACTGGCTTGCTTCCCCTGGCTTGCTCAGATACCTCTCTGTACAGCCCAGGCCCACCTGCCTAGGCAGGGAATCGCCCACCGTGGACTGGGTCCTTTAACATCAATTGGCAGTTGAGAAAATGTCCCACAGACAGGCCAGTCTAATAGAGGAAATTCCTCAACTGAGGCTCCCTCTTCCCAAGTGTCTCTTGTTTGTGTCCAGTTGACACAAACTAATGAGCACATTTGTGTACATTGTGATTTCTTGTTAGCACGCATTATTTTTACCTTAGATATTGCACCAAAATAATGATTATTCAAGAAAAAAGTTTTTTAAAGAACTAGTGTTTAGAATGAGAAGGACTTTCCATAGCAGAATTTAGGGTTACTTACTTTATATGGTGTATTTTTAAATACCACATTTAATGATTATCTTTAAAAATGATGTGGCATTATAGTCAAGATATGTCCCAAACCAGCAGCTATAACCACCTCATTTTATATATATATATATATATAATCAGTTTATTAGAGCATTACTGCAGCAGTAGCATCCTTATCTTATATGAAGATGCAGGGCAGGTTTCATTATGTCAGACATCTTCGTAAAAATCTAAAACAGCCTCAGCCAAGACCCCAGACTGAACTCCTCTGACTGAGGACAGCTCTCACTGGAATATCTGACACCACGTAAGCGCAGCCACATTATGACCTGAGATTTTTCTAAATAACACTGATGAGGTGATGTGAAAAAAAAATCAATAATTTTAATCTTAAAAATAAATCTTTACAGTAGGCAGTCCACAGAAATCACTTGTGCTGATCTATAGGCACTGAAATGGAAAGAAAATGCTGATTGGTGGTGATAATAGATTGTCCTAATCTCCCCTGTGTTCCAGTGACACATCTACTTTACCTTGTAAGCACCACTGACGCCTTGCATGTAATAATTCCCACAGCATCTCCCTGCCTTGAACATGGTCTGATTGTTATCACAGAGCTGACTGTGTGTCACAGTGTAGTGATAGGCCGCTTTGTGTCACTGCACTGCACAGTGCTAGGGTGCTAGTGAGAGAAAAGAAAGGACTTTTCAATCAGGTCCATAAACTGGGTGTTTCTGGAACTTTCCTTCTGTTCTTTCATGGCTTTGGCTAGGAAGCAGAAAAACTTGGGAAAGGTCAACGGGAATCTTTTCTATCTTGGGTTTTCAAAGGGGCTCTTTTCAAATGTGAACCCTCCCAGGAAGGAGTACCCCCCCCCGGGCGTGGTGCTCCTTGTATACCATGCTGACCATAGGAACTCATGGGCGGTGACAGATTTCTCACTGCTGAGGAGCTGTGAGTTATGGGACACTGAGGTTTAATGGCCACATGACTCTGGGATTTATCTCTTGTGTGACATTTATAGAGGAAGTATGGACACACAGAAGCGTGCTACATTTTAGATCTTCTGCCAGAACACTTCCACAAGAATTGCATAAAATCAGTGCTGGATTAACTGGCTCTCCAGCAGTGAAATTAAATATGAACCAAAAATGAATCCTTTTTGAGGATGTCTTTGTTTTTATAATTAGTGTCATCAGTGATTTCAGTGATATCCCTTTAATGAAGATAAAATGTGTTGTAGATAAAGAGGATGGAGACTTAGTAATTTGCCAAGGATCGAATCTCTCTCAGTCCATGGCTGGAAGGTTGAGGCCACATATCCTAGTTCTAAGAATGACCTAAGCATGAAACACTAAGAGGAAAATGTTATCCAAGGTTTTCACACACTTGAAGAATTACTGGTCTGAAAAGCCAGAGTGGATGCATGTGGTTTGGTTTGTTGGCTGCTGGTCTCACTTTTACTTTCCTCAGCCACTGAGGAAGAGAGAGAGAGAGAGAGAGAGAGAGAGAGAGAGAGAGAGAGACTCTCCTTCTACAGCTAGAGATTATGTGAGCTGTGTTGAGGCACTCTGTCCACCAGAGATAGTGCTCAGGAGACCTGGAACACAGAGGATAGAAACCTGGGAGGTCTCTGTTTAAGGTCAGCAGAAGGGCATTAAGCAGAAGACCATCTGTTCAGCTCCAGTCTTCCCAGCTTTTGCTTTCTCAAGTAGCCTGGACCTGATGCAGAAGTCCAGAGTTCATTTCTAATGCCTACAAATAAGACTCTGACTGGTATACTAAATTAATTGCTATTAGCCATAAAATTTGTTTTATTTGCAAACACATATTTTGTTCACTAAGTGCACAAGGCCTTTACTTTTATTTTGCTTTGGTGCTGAGTGTTGAGAAGGCCATGTGCATTCATCGCAAGCATGCACTCTACCACTGAGCTGTACCACCAGGCCTATTTGTTGTGTGTACATTTGTATATGTGTGTGTTACACATAGGTGTGAAGGTCATAGAACAAGCTGAACTGTCCTTCCTCAGGTGCAGCCCACTTAGGTTTCTAAGGCAGAGACTTTCATTGGCCTGGACTCACCACCCATGCTGGTCTGGCTGGCCAGTGAGTCCTACAGATCCACCTCTCTGCATTCCCACAGCTGCAATTACAAAAGAGTGCCACCATGTTTGGCTTTTTCAGTGGGTTCTAAGGGATGGAACTCAGGCCTTTATGCTTGTGAGAAAAGCACTTTACTGACTGAGCTATCTCCCCAGCCCCCTCCCTGTTCATTCTTGATACAAACATAAAATACTAGCTAATAGAGCCTCAGCAAACAGTGGGTACCTCTGTCTTCAAGATACAAAATCTAAAAAATGGAGTTTATATTATATTTCACCATAACTCTTGACTAATTTGCAAAATAGAATGGTTGTACATAAAAAGAGTGACAGTTAATTTTCATTTTAAGTAGTTGAAGATCATGAAAATTGGGTCCTTAGCCATTAACAATCTTTGTAAAGAGACTAAGCAGGTCCACGCCAGGAACCAAGGCGGAATATTCACACAGCCCTGGGTGTGAATAAAACCAGCAGCGAATTATAACATAGAATTCCACACACTGGCTCTTGGAGGACTTTATGGATTCAAAGATAGAATTTCATAGGTAGAGAAGCATTGCAGATTGGTTTTAGAATTGGACAGCATTTTATAGCTATAACACAACATTTATCTATATCTTGTGAAATTTGACTAATTTTCTCCAAGGTTTGTAGTGTTTGGCATGATGTTGTCCCTTAGAAGTAATGCCGGGAAGGTTCAGCTGTGAGTGTAATACTAGCACCTCCCAGCCAGGAATGACTCCTCACCTTCCTCTTCCCCTCCTCCTCCCCTTCTTCTTCCTCCTCTTCACTTTCCTCCTCCTCTCAGTCTTCCTCCTTTCCCTCTACCTCCTTCCCCTCTTCCTCCCACCCTTCTTCTCTTCCCCCTCTATTCGATCCTCCTCCCCTCTCTGAACATGCCCACTGCTGAATCAGAGGGCCCAGGAACCTTTCATGGGAAGCCATTGGATCATATACACCTGAGCAGAGCCTGGAGATGTGCCAACTGGACAGTAGCAGAAGGAATAAGCTGAAGGATGTGTGGGGTGGGTCTGGGTATGAACACTGCTGCATGTATGTCTGTTAAGGGCTCACAGTTGACACTGGAGAGTGAGATGGTCCCTTTTCTTTTTTCTTTCTAGTTGGTCTTATTGCTATTTACGTTATCACTTCATATTAGCAAGTCTCCCACTTGTGTTTCAATTCCTCTCAGCTGCCCATTCACAGTAACATTGTGTGTTTGATTATCTTTTATTTTTATCATGGGTACTTGTATTTATGGCCAAACTTAAAAACCATTTCTTTCTTTTTGTAAAGAACATTCAAAGTTACTGTGAACATTGTCCATATCCAAATATCCATCCTAAGAAATCATTGGTGATCTTTGATAAATTCACGGCAGGCTAGCTCCCATGACCT